GGTGGTTTGAGGCCAGCCTGGGCTACAAAGTGAGTTCAAGGACAACCTGAACTATAGTGAAACTCTATCTCAAGATTAAAATAAGTCAGAGATAAACAGTAAGTCAGCACAAAAAATAAAGACATCAGAATTGTGGCTGGAGGTGCATGAAGATACAGTGGCTAGGCCCATATGACTCCCTAAGGAATAAACAGCAAATTAAATTATACTGTAATTAGTACCACCTGGTCCAGAAAGTCTACCTAGGCATCAGTAGCCCAGGTGGGTTACCAGAGCATATGGAGCAGTCCCTCCCCAAAAATGCCTTCGTTCTTTCCATGTACCCTTGCTATTTGACTCATTTCCCTATTGCAGTGATGATGAACCTTTTCTACATGAGTGCCCAAACTGCAACCCAAAACACACTTATTTATCACAAAGTGGCAACACTCCAATTAAACCTGAATACTGAGGTTTTTGTTTAGAAAAAAACAACTCATACATTAACATCTTTTGTCTTAAAGACACAGTAACACATTTCACAGGTTCAGCACCACTGCCCTATTGGATCAATGGCTATACTTGTGATCCTATCAGTTGACTGTAGTTTGACCCATGTTGTACCCACTGTGACTTTGCTGTATAAATTACCCTTGACAAAGGGCCTCAGAGGCCATCCCTTCGGGACTCTTCTTCAAACTCCAGGAGCTCCTCTCCTCATTTCCAATAAAACTCTCATAACCTCTTCCTTTGGTTCACAATTTCATTCTTCAATTGTGGTTGTAAAACCACAAACTCAACACATTTAACATCAGGTCAGGAGTTAGGTTTCTCCTGTATCAGTTCCTCCACAACTTTGAACTGGGTAGTATTTACAGAACATTCTCCCTAGTCTATGAATAGATAGTTTCATCTTGTCTTTCTTCTGTTAAAATGTTACAACCTCAAAGAGGCTTTCTCTGGCTACCCAATGTAACGAGACTATTCACCATCATTTTTCAAAACTTCTCCTTCTGGTATGACTGCAAAACAAATCATCATGCAAATTATGTATGTTTGTTTATATTGTGTCACCCACAAGGATAAGGCAAAGAAACTTGTCTGTCTTCAGCCAATAGTTGTTCTTACAAGGAGCCAGGTGTGGTGGTGCACTCCTGTAATCCCAATACTCAGGAGGCTGAGGCAGGAGAATTCCCATGAGTTCCAGGCAAAGGCAAGCTGAAGGCCAGCCTGCACTACATAGGGGGACCTTGTCTCGAAACAAAACAAAAAAAAAGTGCCTTCAACAGAAGAATTCAGTATTTATTAAGAGAGTGAATCAGACATAATGTGACAGACGTTAATCGCTCAAAGGCTACAATACAGTAAGTCCCTGATTTACAAACATGTTCTGTTCCTGAATATTTGTAAGTCAGATTCATTAGTAATCTGACAAAGTGGGTCTTATAAAGTACACCTGTGAAAGTTCACAGCCTGAATATTCCTATTTCAGGGACTTACTGTGTTTAAAAATATCACTAAATCCCTTAACTCTTCTTGAAAATGGTTCCACAAATATACTTAAAGGACACTCTGCAAAACCCTATGTAAGATAAGAAATCTAACACTCCCCTACTCACAGAAGTCAGGAAATAACTAGTACATAAATATAAACACACACGTTTAGCACAAAGTGAAACAGGTTCAGTGTTTTCCATGAAAAAAACGAAATAAAAAAGCATGTCAAACAGTTTCAGATATTAATTTCAGACATAAACATCTACATAGTCTGAAAGAAGGAAAAAGGACCAAATCCAACAGAGTGGATCAAAACAAACACATACTCCTATAGTAATACAGAAATACAAAGCTCAAAATAGCCTGCTTTAGAGATCAAACTAGTTCTCTAGTGATCTAAGAAACAAGTATCAACAAACTATGCAAACAAAACAGAAAATAAATAATGTACTAGCAGGCTCATTCACAGGATTTTTCTTTTGTGTATTTTATTATGGAAAATTTCTTTTTTTTTATTATGGAAAATTTCAACCATACACAAAGGCATGGTCAGAACAGCAAAATAAACCTCATGTATACATCACTGAATTGCAGCAATTAACAAAATGTCTTTAAGAATTTAAGAGGGGCCAGGGATAGAGCTCAGTGGCACAAGTGCCTGCCTGGCAAGCACAAGGTCATGAGTTCAACTGCCAGTACCAAAAAAAAAAAAAAAAAAAAAAGAGAATTTAAGAGCTCAGGTGAATTTCCCATGCTACACAACTTTCACAATAAGGATGGTAAAAAGGCACAACATAAATACAGTTTAGGCTTACTTTCCCTTCCTGAACAGCCTTTGCCTAATTAATGTTACAAAAACATAAATTTCCTCCCCTATCATTTATAACCCAACATACTTTAATGTTTAATTTAGATGAAAAATGAAAAGCTGTAGTAAGAATCAAAACGATTGAAGAAGCCAGGCCTGGTGGCGCATGCCTGTAATACCGGCACTTGGGAAGCAGAGGCAGGAGGATTACCCAAAGTTTGAGGCCAGCTGGTCTATACTGACTTCAAGGCCAGTGAGCTCCTGTCTCAAAAAACAACAACAAAAGAGAGAAAATTAACCAGGTAAATGGGGTTTTAATTCTCCATTCAACACATATCTTTAAAATCTTAATGTTGTACATTCCAGTTTATACTATGGAAATAACTGAGTCAAATGAATTTTTATTTTAAGACAGCGTCTCACTATGTAGTTCAGGCTGGCCTTGAACTCGTGGCAATCCTCCTGCCTCAGCCTCCTGAGTGCTGGGATTACAGGCATGTGTCACCATGCCCAGCTCAAAATCAAATTACAGGTAGCAGTTAACAACTGCAGAGTTTTCTACTGCTTGTAGATTAATAAAAAAAAATTTTTTTGAAGTAGCTACTATATGCTTAACAAATAGTCCCCTCCTTTTATTGGAAACGTCTCTGAAAAACACATTACTACTTTATTCAAAACTAATCTAATAGGTTTATTCTGTAAAGAAAATTCCTATTTCTACACAAAACAGGAAGTCAAGTGCCACCAACTGGGCTCACAGATTCTCCTTTTCTATCAATTTATAATACATAAAGTCTATGATATTTCAAGAGCACTGGCCCATGACTTTCTGCCTGTTAATTCACCTTTATAATCTGTACCCCAATCAAGACACCGAAAATTTCCAACACCTCAGAAGGCACCATTGTTTCCCCCAAAAGATACCCACTGCTGACATTTATGATGAAAGATCAGTTTAGCCTGTTTTTTATGACATATTAATGGAATCATAAAGGTTTTCTCTTAAAATATTTGACTTCCCTCATTCAATTATATGACTGTGCAACTCATCTCTGTGGCTCCACATATCAAACATTAATTCTCTCCAGGCTGGTGGCACACGCCTGTAATCCCAGCACTGGGGAGGCTGAGGCAGGAGGATCACTGTGAGATCGAGCCCAGCCTGGGCTACAAAGTGAGCTCAAGGCCAGCCTGAACTGCATGGTGAGACCCTGTCTCAAAAAGACAAAAAAAAAAAAAAAAATTAATTGTCACCTCTGTGCTGTATTCTCCCACGTAAGTATCTCTCAATGTATTTTCCATTCTGTTGATAACACAGTTGAGTTATTCCCAGTTTTCAGTAATATTCTTATATACATTTTTGTGGTGGACAACTGTACCTACTTCTGCAGTGCATATTACACAAAAGCTACCACTTTTTTTCTTTTGAAGAAGCTGAAGCCGGGTGTGGTGGCACACGCCTGTAATCCCAGCACTCAAGAGGCTGAGGCAGGAGGATCGCTGCATGTTCGAGACCAGCCTGGGCTACAAAGTGAGCTCAAGGCCAGCCTGAACTGCATAGCGAGACTTTGTTTCAAAAAACCAAAAAAAAAGCTGAAAATGTACAAAGTGAATAAATTTTCCAGTACTGTGTGAGTACAGGGGCACACTGAGTCGTGAGGTAAAACGCATTTACACGTCACAGTCAAAAATGTTGGACACTTTTCTCATTCCAGTCCTACCCCCCTACAAGGAGACGCCACCAAAAAAAAATTCTTAGTACAGTAATCCAACAATCTATTCTTTGCAACCGTTTTTACTTCACCGAGAAACCAACCACAGGAACTTTGTGTCCAGTACATCTTATCTAGTACTCATTATTTAAAAAAAAAAAAAAAAGTTGCAATACAAAACTGCTCAAGACTGGTCATTTACATTTCGTATGAAGTAAGACCTACAAGGGACAGCAGATCTAAATTAGTTTCGTCTCTGGTTAGTGAAAAGCAAAAAACCACTCTGAGTCGCTAGTTCCTCATCTGTAACCACAGGAGTCTGTTAAGACCAATTTATTTTAGCTAATCAACAGGTATTACCGATAAATACAGTCAGCACGCAAAGGGTGCCAATAACACGCTAAGAACCGCAGACTTCGCGGAGAGGGCAGGAAAGAATCAAGGAGAAGTTCCGGGGATTCAGCAGAGGCTGTTCCCCGCCAGGTGCCAACTTCTCTGCCACTCTCTCTCCTCCCCCACCCCGTACACCTCTGTCCTGAAGTTCGCAGTCACAGATGCGGCACTCGAGCTCCTCCCCGCCACCCACCTCGCTGTTCAAAAGGAAACTGAGGCACGCAGCAATGGGTGAGCCGCAGCAACCACTAACGGAGGCTGGACCGCGTCCCGGCTACCAACACGCACACAATTACCCTAGGCAGTTAGAACCCCGCTGGCCTCGGCCTCCCACCTCAAAACCCTGGGGCCAACCGTGAGAACCCAGACCCCTCCGCACCCAGCTCGACCCCAGCTCGCGCCGCCTCTGCCGAGGTCTACAAGGCCTGGACCCCCGTAGCCTAAACGCAAACCCGGTCGGCCACGCCAAAAGCTTCCTCCCGCGAACACCCACACCCGGGCCGCCTCCCCGCTTCCCACCTCCGCGCCGTACGGCCTGTGCCTCCTCCGCACACCACACAGAACCGCCCTGCTGAGCGAAAATACCCAGCGAGGGGCTTCTCCACACCCACCCCACAGCACGGCCGCCGCGCCGGAAGCGCCGCCGCGTCTCCACGCCGAGCCTGATGTCACTTCCGGCGCGACTCCTAGGAAACGGGAGGCGAGGTGGTGAGCGGCGGGGTGCTGGGAAGTTTGATAAGTTGGAGGACGTGGTCCCCACGGACCTTGTGGATTTACAGAACTGTGCGTGAGTTCCGGTATCACGCGCCCGCCTGCTATTTGCCGGGTTGTAGGCTGCAATCTGGGTTCTACACCCCAACCACCTGGCCCAGGTTCCTGGGGCGCATGCGCTTCTTGGCTGGTTTATTGAAAAGCTCTCCTAGCCGGGCGTGGTGGCGCACGCCTGTGATCCCAGCTCTCGGGAGGCTGAGGCAGGAGGATCACTACGAGTGCCAGGCCAGCCTGAACTGCAGAGTGAAACTCTGTCTCAAAAAAAAATAAAATAAAAGTGTGCAGCTGTTTCTCATCAAGTTGGCGGGCAAAAAAGCTGAGAAGCCAGATATTAAAGAGAAGAAACTCAAGCCAAAAAGGCTGGTGCCACTGCCACGGTTAAAAGGGTACAGGCTAAGAAGTCCAAGAAAGGTCAGCCTTACAGCAGCCGAAACCTATCCTGGTTAGAAGAATCGGTAGATACTACCGATCTGATACGTGTTCTAGAAAGGCTTTGTACAAGAGAAAGTACTCAGCTGCTAAAGCGAAGGTTGAGAAGAAAAAGGAGGTTCTTGCCACTGTCACAAAACCAGTTGGTGGTGACTAAAATAGTGGTAGCGGGTAGTTAAGCTTCACAGAATGCCTGGATACTGTCCTACTGAAGATGTGCCCGAAAAGCTGTTGAGTCATGGTAAAAAAAAAAAAAAAAAAAAAAAAAAAAACAAACTAATAAAAAAAATTTTAAAAAAAACACCTTTACTCAGCAAGCGAGGAAACTGCGAGCAATCATCACTCTCTGGACCATCTTGATCATCCTCACCTGGCGCCTCAGAGGCCGCGTGGTTTTCCTGACTCATAACAGTCCTCCTGCCTCAGAACCTAATTAAATAACTGATGCGGTTTTTTTAAATAAAGTGTACAATTCAGTGATTTTTATTATATTCACAAATGTGTGTCTTGGTCACCACTAATTCCAGAGCATTTTCATCATTCTACCATAAAGAGTGATGGCATAGGTACTACTATTCTTCCATAAAGATAAATTTGAGTCGTTTGTAGGAGAATGGATGCACTTGAGACCATGATGTTAAGTGAAGTAGATCACACAAGCTTAAATATTGCCTGGTTTTTCTTACATGAGAAATCAAAATGTAAAAGCTTGGTGTGGTGTCGCACACCTGTAATCCCTGCACTCGGGAGGCTGAGACAGGAGGATCGTTTTGAGTTCAAGACCAACCTAGGCTACAAAATGAGCTCAAGGCCAGCCTGAACTGCATAGCGAGACCCTGTCTCAAAAAAACAAACAACAAAAAAGGAAATCAAAATATAAAGTGCAAAATAAACAGGTAATAGGAAGTAAAGAGATAGATGTGTCTCATAGGGGAGGGGGATCAAGAGATGAAGTGGGAAAAGGAAGAAGAAAAGAATTCAGATGTGTTAAGTACATACACCAACGCCCCACGAGGAATGTAAACATATACTGCGAACATACTAATAAAAATAATTTTTTTAAAAAGCCCTGTACCGTTAGTAGTCACTCCCCTTCACTCCATCCCCAGCCCCTCAAAACCATGCATCTGCATTTGATCTCCATGGAGTCAACTATTTTAGGTATTTCCTATAGTGAGACTGTGTAATAGGTGGCCTACACGGATAATGAGTGTCTGTTTTCTTCCACTTAGAATAATGTTTTCCAGGTTCATTCGTGCAGTAGCACCTACTTGTGCTGGCTTCCTTTCTATGACTGATTAGTACTTCACTGTAGGGATGTAACACCCTTGTTTATGCACTCATTAAGTGATTTGGGTTATTTAACGAGTTATTTAATACGTTTTTTTGGTATTATAACTAGCATTGTTAGAAACATTCAGGGACAAGTTTTTGTGTGGTCATCTGTTTTCATTTCTCTTGGATATATATCTAGGAGTGAAATTTCTGGGCCATATGGAAACTGTTTCACCCTTTGCAGAACTGCAGGCTTTCCCAAAGCAGCTCTGTATATTATCTTACATTTCCACAACAATCAATGAGTGTTCCTTTTTAAGGACACTAAAATATAGCACACTTCTCTAAAGAGACACTCAGAACCCTCCAAATGATGTAACTAGGGAGTATTCAGGAGAGACATTTACGGGAGGGATAACAGTTTCCTGCTCCACGTGTACTCTGCCAGCTGTGGTTCCCATGTGAGAATAGGACAACTGGAAAAGGTTCAAAGCCTGCCTCTGACCTGCCACTGCCACATGAGGTGGTCCAGTAACTCATTCCACAACTAAAGAAGATTTATTCTGGTTCAGAACCTCAGCAATGATGAGAACCTAGATATAATAGATTCTTGTCACATACAACACTTCTGCTCCAAAAGTCCAACAAATCTAAATTCATTAACCGGAGTGGTCATGGATAATCATATTTCCTCTTAGCCAGTCAAGAAAGAATTCATGCTATAGTAAACTCTACTTACTGCACCTATACAAATAGGGCAAATAGAAAGGTCACCTGGTTCTCTAAAACAAACCAATTCATGGGGCTGGGGATTTAGCTTAGTGGCAAAGCACCTGCCTGGCAAGCACAAGGTCATGAGTTTGATTCCTCGTACCAGAAGAAAAACATACATACACACACACACACACAAAAAAAAAATCAGTTCAATTCTGGAACGTGTTTCTATTGCCTGGGTTTCATAATCTAGGCCAGTGGTGGCAAACCTGCTTGCCACAGTGGGCTGTTTGTATCACTGAAAGCTCTATTACTGTGCTTTTCCTTTAATATACGAGTTGGGTTTTTTTCCTAAAGTAAAACCTCAGTATTCAGATTTAATTGCAGTGATGGCAGTTTGCAATACATAAATGCATTTTGGGTTGCAATTTGGGCACTCGGTCTCTAAAAGTTTCACTGTCACTTATCTATGCTGTTGGCTTCTAGATCTACTTTACAAGGCCTAAGAGTTATTTTTATTCTGGTAATTGCCTGTGTTACAATTGCTGACACAGTAAATCCAGAAACTTAAGCGCTACTGCCCAGAAGCCACTGTTACTTATGATGGCCCAATAACTCCTACCCCAAAAGAAGAAAAGATTAATTCCCTAGCCCCACCCCCACCTCTGGGCCCCACCTTCCCATGTGCAGGTTGGGTAAGCCCTGCTCACCATGAATGGAAAGATATGTTTAGGAGCCAGGCCCTTCAACCATTTGGGAAGGTTCTCAAAAGCAAAGACTGTATTTTTTTCCCTCGGTTCTGGTTCAGAGAATGCCCTCCATAGATGTGCAATAATCCAGTGAGGAAGGAAGACAGTGCAGTGACAGTCTTGTCCCCTAAACAGACTGCTTGAGGGCAATAACTTCACCTCTCCATTCCCATCGCCTACAGGAAAACCCAACACAAGACTGGGCCCAAGGTGGGCATGGGCATGTGTGATGTCTTCAACTGAGATTCAAAAACTTTCCATCTGGAGGACTTCTGTGTAACATTTTTATTTAGCTCCGGTGGAGACTTCCTATACATTTATGAGCACTTTGATTAAATTGTTCTCTACTGCATTAGATGCTTCTTAAGATTATATACAATAAATGCAAGCACACAACTCTAGTGCAGGCTAGATTAAAAACGTCATTGTGTACAAACAAAAAATATAGACATTTTAAACCAGGTATAGTGATGCACACCTGTAATATCAGTACTTTGAGAGACTGAGGCAGGAGAATCACAAGATTGAGCCAAGCCTGGGCAAACACAAAGACTTAGCAAGACTCTGTCTCAAAAAAAAAAAAAAAAAAAGCGCCTGCCTGGCAAGCGCAAGGTCGTGAGTTCGGTTCCCGGTACCGGAAGACAGAAAAAAAAAAAAAAAAAAAAGAGGTTAGGGATGTAGCTCTGGGTAAAGGGCCTGAGTTTAATCCCTAGTATCACATACAAAAAAAATTCACATGGGGTGTAGATAAGGGATGCCAGGAAAAGGTAACTGAAATATTCCTTCATGCCAGCCCTGGTCCTTGGTCTTAGGTGTAATTCTTCTTAGATGCAAGTCCCATCCCCACCCTGGACAGGAACAAGGGTTTTACAAGGATAGGAGGCAGCCCTGTTTGTTACTGTCTGGAGGTAGGGCAGACAAATGTGATTCCCCAGGCATGGAGTTGCCAGCCCATGGAAGCACATCACCTAGCCTTGGGAAAATGGCAATTCCACCTCTGTGCCAGTCTCTTGGGCTGGTTCTTCCCTTCCTCCAGGAGGATCCCACAAGGATCAGACAGGTCCTGGCAGGCCTGCTCTAAATGTTTCTCCAGCCTGGCAGCTGGTAGGCCCAGAGACTTCCAGAGAGCTCCTCAGAGGTTCCCAGAGGCTGAAAGACCCAACTCTGCTGGGCTCCCAGCTCAGGCACCTCTGTGGAAACCCCATGGGTTCCTACATCCTTCTGCTGTCCCCACTGTCTGTGTTTAGTATGCAGCGTGGGAAGTTGGGGTAGAGAGCTGGTATGATTCTCCAAGAGTCTATGAGTTTCAGGCTGAAGCCCAGATCTACTCCCCATGCAGACCAGGTAGACAGATCTAGGCTTCAGGACACTTGAGGACAGAAGGACGTAGCTGTGCCTGGAAGTGCTTGCATCGGGGATGCTTCATAGACAGACCATAGATGGGGGTCATGTCTACTTTCACTCCTGGTGATACACTGAATTCCAGTTGCTGCAGCAGGATGGCCAGGAAAAGGAAGACCTCCCAGCGACCAATGATCTCCCCGATGCATCGGCGCTTGCCCAAGCCAAAGATAATCACCTTCTCACTCAGTGCCTTGTCCACAGTGCCATCCGGAGAAAGAAAGCGTTCAGGCCGGAACACAGATGGGTCCCCCCACAGCTTCCTGTAATCAGAGGGAGGCAGTTGAAGGGACAGCTGGGGGTTCAGAAGCATTAAGTGCATTGAACCCCAAAGGACATGAATGGGCAAGTAGCACACAGACCGGAGGATCTGTACCCAGGGGATGGTGGCCCAGCCCACCCAGGAGTTTCTGCTGCCCCTTACAACTTACAGGTCATGGTTAATCTGCCACTGGTTCACAAAAATACAGCACCCCTTTGGGATGTAAAATCCATTCAAACTTGTGTCTCTTGTGGTGCTGGGGAAGGAAAAAGCAGAGTCAGGCTCAAGGTCACAGAGGAATCCCCCATCGTCCATGTCATGTCCCTCCCTGGTCCCTCATTGATGTATGCACTATAGCAAGGCCCAGTATCAGATAGCCTCACCTGTGTGGAATGGTGAAGGGCAAGAAGGAGGAGTGCCGGAAGACCTCCAGGATGAAGGCTTCCATGTAGGGCAGCTGGGTTCGGTCAGTGAGCTGGGGCCACCGCTCCCTACCAATCACAGTATCTGCGGAACACAAGACCCAGATGGACTAAGGGGCTGCCCAGGCCTTGGTAGAACCCTGCTTGGACCTCTGTGGATGGAGCCACAACCTACCCAGCTCCTCCTGGATCTTTCTCTGTATCCTTGGGTTCGTCACGAGGTACAGGAGGCTCCAGGAGATGGCAGTTGTGACTGTGTCAAAACCTGGACAGGGAAGAACAGAGGAAGACATCAGGCAGGTTACAGACAGATCAGGACATTTGGGTACAGAAAGGGAACAATGGGCTGGCCCATACCAGCTCCAAAGAGGTCCAAGACAATGCTAATGATCTTCTGGTCTGAAAGCAGAATATTGGCGTTCTCATCCAGCTTCCTGTCCTGACAGTGCTCTATCAGGCTGTCTGTGATGTCCCGGATGTGACCCTGGGTAGGGAAGACACACAGATGAACAACATCTCAAGCCCAGGCCCACCCCCTATCCAGGCCTTGTCCCTCACTGTCGCTGACACCTTCTAACACCTTCGTTCAAGAAATTAACATCTACTGTGGCTGCTGTCCCAGTTCCTCTCGGCCTCCCCAAGCTCTCGGCTACCTTAGAATACTAAGGACACTCACCACATAGATTTTTAAACTATTATCTGAATGTGCTCTTTAACCTTTCTCTACCATGAAGTCAATAGATAAGCTGTTTAAATCCCTCCCATCCCTGCAACAACTGGTCCAGGGTCCTGCATGGAATGACTTTCAGGAGCTCTTGCTTGACAGGAGCCTAGAAGGGCCAGTCAAAAAATAGTTTTACTGAGGCAGGAGGATCGCCATGAGTGCAAGGCCTACCTGGGCTACATAAGTGAGGTCAAGGCTAGCCTGTGCTACATAGTAAGACCCTATCTCAAAAAAACAAAAACAAACAAACAAAAAAACAAGACAAAACAAAACAAAAAAAACAGTTCTATTTCCCTGGGAAGGATGGTGCCCACTCCATAACAGCCTCAAACTCCCAGGGTGGCACCTCCCTGAGGACCTCTCAAGCCTCATTCTATTCCCCTCATCTCTGACCTCCTGGCCACTGATACTATCCACCTCCCTGGCCCACTTTTCTTTCCCCAGCCTGTACCTTCTCAAATGTTTTGTAGTGCTCCTTGACCATCTTGTTTATGAAGACAGAGAACTTCCTGTTCAGGTCCTTGAAGGTATCCATGGAAGAGCTGGGCAGATACTGGAGGATGGGGATGAAGTCAACTGGGTTTCCTGAGGCAGTCAGCTCCCCAAACTCATTATTCAGGTCGACTAAATCAAGCAGCTCTTGGTGGTCGTGGTCATAGCGCCGCCCAAAGCATATGGCAGAGATGACATTGGCCACTGAGACCACCACATATCTGTAGGGGTCAAAGTGTCCAGGCCCTGCCATGAGCTCCTGGAACTTGTTGATAAGGTACTCAGCCTCCTTCTTCACATGCTCCTCTAAGTAGCAGGAGGACGCAGAAGCCGGGTCTGAGGCCAAAGAGAAACTCTTCAGGGCATCCTGCGCGAGGCGCCGGCGGGCAGCCCACACGGGGCCTGAATCTGGGTTGAAAGTCATGCTTTGGCCATCAGAGATGAAGGTGAAGCTGTAGAAGTCAGGCCGGCCCTTGAAGTCGTCGCCCTGCCGCACCAAGGCCTGGCGGATGGTGTCTAGACCACTCAGCACCACCACAGGCGTGGAGCCGATGCGGATCTGCAGCACATCCCCATAGCGAGCACTCAGCCTGGCCAGCGCCAGGTGTGGATTCTTGCCCAGGGTCAGCACATGCCCGATCAGTGGCCACCCCCAGGGCCCTGGGGGGCTCTTCAGGCCTTTGGGGACCTGAGGCCTAGAGGCTCTGACCACCCAGAGTACTAAGCAGAAGATGGTGGCAGCCAGGAGTAGGTCCACAGCGGAGGTGAACATTGGAAGCTCAGACACAGAAAACATGAGTAGTGGCAGGATCTTCCAGGCAGCTGCTGAGAGGTGGGACAAGAAAAGAAAAGTGAGACCATCAGATGGAGGGCAGGAGGAGCCAATATCCTAAAAGGTCAGGATGTTGGTCAAGGAAAGGAGAAACTTCCCAACCGGAACTCCTGAAGGACAAGAGGCAGAGGAGGCAGGAGGCAGAAGTTGTTGAGATGCCAACGTGTTCTAAGAATTTCAGCCACTCTTCATTCAGCCCTGGCAATGAGTCTCTGCAGGGGGATGCAGAGAGGCTCAGAGGAGGTAATTAACTCGCTCAAGGTCACACAGCCAGGAAGTGACTGCTTCCAGACCACTTCTTAACTGCTGTACCAATCTAAAACGGTCTTCCAATCTGTCTCTGATTTTCATATATCAGTGTTACCATTTACATCACATTTCCAAAAATCTGCTTTAAATCCATCCAGATAGCATCATTCTAAACAATATCTGTGTAAAGTACAGCTTTGCTTTTCCCCCAACACATTCAAATAATGTGTAATCAATGTGTATTACCCCAGGTCTCTTTGAGTCCTACTCACCGCTGTGAAAATCATGCTATGGAACGGAGGGAGGTTAGGAATCATCTGCTCCTTGGCCTCTTTTCACATTTGAGAGAAAATGATCTCCAGAAGAGTCACTGACTTACCCAAAACCATCTACCAATTGGCAAAAGAGCCAGGACTCAGCTTCTAGGGAAAGTTCCCTGAAGAGTGGCCAGCTGCTACCATAAGTACCTCCTTTTGAAGGTCAAGAAGGAATTTCCCCAGAACCTCCGCTTCCTATGCTCAGTTCCAGGGATCTAAGGAATCCTGCCAAATAGGAAGGCCACTGCCCAAGCCACGCTGCTGTCAGCCCCCTTTTCTGATTTCAACAGATACATCTTTTAAGAGCAGCTGGAGTGAACTCCCAGAAGAAGAAATCCAGGCCAGTTTTTCATTACGTTCAATTCTCAATGAATGAATAGTCCCAGCTTCCCTCTGTTGCCGGTTACCAGATGGCTAAGAATAAATGGAAGTTTCCCACCCGGTCAGGGCTAAAAGGAAACTACAGACTGGATTACCACAAATTAGGGATGGATCTGAATTTAACAGATCCTGAGAAGAAACTTTGTAGGCTGGACCCAGAAATTCACAGATCACTCTCTCCAAGGTATTAGGCTCTGCCTGGGGCTTCTAGCTCCACTGCACTGAAGGTCTAGGGAGGCAGTTTCTAGTTCAAGTGGCCTCAGACTGGTCATTTTACATTTCTAAGCATGGGCAGCATAATCTGAAAACAAGGGTGGGATATCTCAAACAAGATCTGAAACAAGCCCACTCCTAGGGAAGAGGAGATCCATAGCCATTCTGAGGAAGCTCACAGTCTCCCTGCTAGGTCTCCCTGCAGGAGAGATGCACGGTTCCAGCACCTCCCAGGAGTAGGGGAGATTCCTACAGGGGCTGGATCCCAAAATACACTAGACCCCCAAATCCCTGAAAGAATTGGGGGTACGCTAGCCTTGGAGGTGACATCCAGCTTTTGTAGGGAGATGTGACTGGTGAGTTCTCAGGGACTTGTACTTCCAGCTGCCTGCTGCCTGCAGCCTGCTGTCTATCACACTGACCACCTCCCAGCAAAGGACAGAGAGGACAGTCCCTGGGACTGAGAGAGGGGCTGCACAGACCCCCAGCTTCCTTCAGTCTCCCTGATGGCCTCAGTGAGGAAGACCTGATGTGCTACCCGGGGTACTCCACCCAGAGTCATGGGGGATGAAGTTGGAGCCTGGGTCTTGGAGTCCTACTCTATGTCTAGAGGTTTGGAACTTGATAGGGGACCTCAGGCAATACCTGCTCTTCTTCTGACTTCAGTTTTCCCACTAGGGGGTCAGACTGCCTGGTCACTAAAGATGTTCTTAGCCTTCTGTTTTGGAGGTGATAGTCCAGTGACTACCCAGGAAGATCTGTAATACCCCAAATTTCCCTTTTATTGGGAAGAAAGGAACAAATCAGAAGCCCCCAGCACTCACCCTTGGCTGTGAGGTGCTAAGCTGAGAAGAGCAGTCTCTGGGGCCAGGACCCTGAGGAGGATGGGGAGGCTCCAGATTCTGTCACCTTTAGACTGAGCGTGAAGGCACCACCTTTATAGGAGACTCTGTAAGAGGCCCGCCTCCTTCCCTGGAGCCCTGGGACAGGGGTGGGGGCTGGGGGGTGGCTCTGGGGGTGGGGTGAGGAAAGGACTTCATCTAGGTGCTGACAGGAAATAGGGTGAAGGCTGGAAACACCTGGGACCCCCACTGCCAAGGCACCCCGTGCGTGCACAATGCAAAACACACCCGGGAGGGTTTGGGGGGAGAAGTCCCAGAACAGCACGAGGAGGGAATAGGGTGGAAGGCACTGGCCTTCTCTCGGACATTTCTGCACCCCCACGTCACTGGGCGTGCAAGTGCCAGGCAGGCAGAGCAGAGCTGCTGGGTGGGGACCTCCTTCCCCAGGTCACTGAGTCCCGGCTGGGCTCGCGTGAGAAGCCTGCGACCCCAGCCCGAGGTCATAGGCAGAGGCGCCAAGGCCTGCCCCCGCCCCTCGCCCCGCGCCCGCCGGGAACTGGCCTGGCGCCTGTAGGGTTGCCTCACGGTGCGGCCAGGGAGACCCCGGGCCACCCGCCCTGGGGGCTCCCTCTAGGCTGCCAGGGTTGCGGGAGCTGAGTTTGGGGGCAGAAGAAATCACGGCGGGCTGCAGGGACGGGACGGGGGAGAGAACATGGGGACAGAGGTCGCGCCCCGGGTCGGCGCGGTGCCCGGTTGCGTGAGAAGCGCCCTCGGCGCGCGGGATCGGCGCTGTCACGCGAGGGGGGCGGGGACGCAGGCGCGGCTCTTAAATGGGGAGGGCAGGAGCCGGAGAGTTCCGGGCGCGCGATTGGAGGTGGATGGCTAGGCGGGTGGGGGGTGTTAGGGAGGCTCGCGTGCGGAGCGGGCTGCTGCTGGAGAGAGGCCTGCGCTGTCCACGGTCCCCACCCGCGGCGGATCACGCAGGCCTGCACTGCCCTGCACGCCTGGCTGTCTGCCTGGCCGGTGTCCCCTTGAAAGAGGTCCAAGAAAAAGGCTGCATTCGCGTGTCTAGCTCAACCTGTGCCCGATTGTCACCACTAGCCAAGGGCACTGTCACCTGTCCCCTGGCCCAGGCCATAAACAATCTCCGCCCCCTCCCCTCCCACGGCAATTGTCTGCCTTGGGCATTGCACAAATATTTACCAAGCGCCCACTGTGTGCCAGGTGCTGGCTACTGAAACGGATGAGAACAGAACTGACAATGCTCCTCCTCCAGCGCCCGTTTACATTCCCACAGGGGACACGTGTTACCCGCCACAAAAACACAGGGAACAGAATAGCAGAGGGTAAAAGTGCTATAGAAAAACCTAGCAGAGAAGGTGTAGAATTACAAGGGGACCCGTTGAAGTTCAAAGAGGGTTTTCCGTGATGACTCCAAACAGAATCAGGAGTGTGGTGTCAAGAACCCAAGATGCCTAGATCTGTGGGTGGAGAGCCCCTGGGGGAGGGGGCAGCAGGTTCAAAGGCCCTGGGGCAGCATCACTAGAAGCAACGGGAATGTGCAGGGATTCCAGGACTGGGGTTTTTCCCAGCATTTAGTGCCCTGAGAGAATGGGATGCCTGTAGGGGAACCTACCAACTCCCTTCCCCCATAGAAGTACTCCACTGGGGAATCTCAGACTGTCTGTGTGACATTGACATGGTGCTGGGGCCCAGCCCAGTAACATCACACTGGCCACCAGGCTGAGTTGAGAGGGAAGGCGCAAGGGCATTTTGCTGTATACTTAAGTCTGTCCAGCCCCATTCAGCAAGGTCCACCAGTGGGGGGCAACCATAAATACAGACATGGCTTTGCTTGTTCCCTGTCCTAAAGTATTTAGCCTCCAAACTGGGTTCCCATTTGTCTTTTGCCCTTTCGGATCCCTTCTCTCCACTGGGGCACTCAGACTGTTTGATTGTTTATTTGTTTAATCTGAGACAGGATCTCACTATGCACCCCAGGCTGGCCTTGAACTTGTAGTAATCCTCCTGCCTCAGCCTCCCGAGTGCTGGGATTACAGGTGTGCACCACCATGCTCAGCAAGACTGATCTCTTAAAAAATGTAAGATATCCAAAAAAAAAAAAAATGTAAGATATCTTTCACCTTGTTTACCACCACCTTGTTTACTGCTTTGGTATCTGAGGATAGAAATGGAACCTTTTCCAGAACCTACCAGCTTTCCCAACTCTACTTTGCCCTTACTTTGTCGCTGTTTCCAACTCTTCTCCGTAATAATTCTCAAGACATTTGACCTTAGTTATGACCCAGATGCCACCTGCCACTTGACATGGAAAACCAACCTATGGGACACTGGTCTTGGTCTGATACGCCAAGTCCCAACAAAGGTGAGCATCTGGTAAAGGAGTTAGAGGCAGCTGCACCCAGCAAGAGTCACACTGAGCCCAAGAGCTGGTGCTCAAAGGGTGGCCTTAGGCAGAAGAGGATGTGGGGAGGTACTGCTGGGCTTTCTCAGTATCCTTCTAATCATTCCGCTGCCTGCATCACTGATTAGCTGAGGAGCATCACAGTACCCAAGAGAGGTCTGTGCTTCAGGCCCAGGTAGAGCAAGAGCCACAGGAAGTAGGACGAGAGCAAGGCACTCCTACATGCTCTGGCTTGCTCTACAGCCCCCTTTCCCTCACCTCCCCAGAATTCCCACCCACTCACTAGCTGGAGAAAATCCCAGCAGGCTGTGCACCAGGCTGGAAAACCCTCCAGTGCTGGGCTCCTAGCCAGGCACCCAGGAAACCTCTGCTTTGGGTAGATGTATTGCTCTGCCCAGGGTCTCAAAGGGGTCTTGATGCCAAAGGAATTCCTTAGCTAATAAAGCAAACACCCCTCCCTCTGCCCAGCTGGGGAGACATATCAGAAGGCAAAGCCCAGTGACACCCAGCAAGCCAACAAGGAGCCTGCAGTGCTGCCCTCTTGATTTGGGCCTGAGTTTTTCAGCTAGGATTTGCCACCCCAGGCTATGAGAGAAGCCTCAGGGGGCCCTGGGAGAACAGGCTCAGGCCCTGGGCCAGCACCTCCGTCTCCCCAGGCCCTGGGACAAGAGTGGGATGTACCGGGGTCTCAGGAGAGCTCATCCTTCTCATCATTGGGCTTTGTCTGCGCTACAGCCGCAGTGACAAGAGGGGGCCTCCCTGAGCTGGACAGAGAAGGAGGTGACAGGCAAGAGGCTCGAGAACCTTGGCCTGGAGCTGAACGCCCAACGCTGGGTCAAAGTTTGCTTGCTTTGCGTGAGAAGCTCTTTGGCTGGGATTCCATAGTGATTGATTCTCCAAGGCAAGGCCAGAGGGGTGGGAGGGCTCTGGGCTGCTGAGGGGGATGTGGACAGCTAAGGGTCTCGACCTGGCAGCGTCCTCGGGCCCAGAGCCTTTGGTCGGCACTGCTGCTGTGCGGTGTGTAGCAGGAGCCTGGGAGGCAGGCAAGACTCACAACAGATCCTACTCTGTAGTGGAAGCAGGAGCCATACCCCAAGCTGGGTCTGTGCTGAGCCTGGAGAAGTGGGGGAGACTGCAAGGGGAGCCCTGGGGTAATTATGCCTGTTGTAGCATAATTGTCAAGAGGTCCTAGCCTGGTTAAGTTATGTGGTCACCCCAGGGACACTGTGGGTCTAAGGGTTTTATGGGCCCAGCATCTTCTCCCTTCTGGTAATACCATACTCATCATTCTTTGGGGACCGCCTGAAAAACTCTCTGCCACCAGGTTTGGTGGGCTGATACCAGCCCAAGCCAGGCCAAGGAGAAGCAAATGGGGATTTTGATGAAGTCACCAGACAAAGAAGGTTGTGGAGGAGCTGTGCTGGTTAGAAAATAAATCTGAAGCTGGGGGTAGTAGCACATGCCTGTAATCCCAGACTCAGAAGCTGAGGCAGGACAATTGCCACAAATTGGAGGCCAGCTGGGCTACATGGTGAGTTTAAGACCCCGCCTGGAACACGGATCAAGACTCTGTCTCAAAAAATAAAAAAGTTTGCAGCTGCCAGTGGCCAGTTTTTAAGAAAGCCACTGAGGGGAGGGAGAAGGGAACTACTGGTGGCATTATGCATCTACATTTAGTTATTCCTGAAGCCATGAAGGTCACCCATAGAACATCCTGATCACATGAACCAAACCACCCCCTCCTCCTCCTCTCTTTCTCTTCTTTTCGTATCTTCCTCACCTCCGCCTCATTCTCTTTTTTCTCCTCTCCTTCTCCCTCTCCTTTTCCTTTTGTACTATGAGTTGGGTTTTGAGAACTGCAAGAATTATAACCCAAACCTGACAGCCGGGGAGTTGTACCCAGCCAAGCTCTCTGAGCACTTAAGCCTGGGGAATGATACACACCCAGGAAGACCTACTGGGGTAGGACAGAGTCCTAAGACATTACTGCTGTTAGGCGGACATGTGGTACACACCTGAAATGCCAGTATTCTTAGAAGCTGAGACAGGAGTGATGGAGACCACTATGAAGTGGCCCTGAGCAGGATTTAATATTAACCAATTGGCTTTCCATGTTTACTTGGGAGTGGTCTGAAGCGTACGCACCTTGTCTAGAGATGGGTAGTAGATTTATAGTAAGTAAACCTCTATGAGTTACTCATCCTTACTAAGGCCTGTATTGGCCTGTGAAGTTGGGATGCCTCAAAGGACAAGATAAGGTCATGTCTGAGGACTTTTGGCTCCAACCTTAACTAAAAGGTGGCTATAGCTGCAGGCATCTCACTCCTGCAGTGAAGGCCTTCCTGGAAATAGCATAGTTCTCCTAAATTAACATAAAGTATTACTTGGAGAAGTCCTTAAAGGGATTCCCAGTCCTGCCCAGGTTCCTGCATTTTCTTCAGTATCCCCCTCCCTTGTTTGAAAACCGGGCCACCCCGGGAAGTCTTGGTCTGAACCCAGAAAATCTTCAATTTTGTAGGAGAGTTGGACCCTCCTGGAGCCCTAAAATCACTTCAACTGTCTGATTCATTTAAGCCTTCGCCATCCACTAATTTGGAATATTGCAGGCCTGATCAGTCCACATATTAACCTGTTACA